TACATATTCATTCATTATTAGAGAGAGGCAGTGATTGGTGCATGGAAGACATGGTTGTGCAGGATCTTGAATTTCATTGTCCATATCTGGTAAATAATTGATGGCATCATCAGTTAAGACCCAGCTCATTGACACACTTTCTGGGCTTTGAAATATAACATCTTCACAACAAGATTCATAAATAGATTTTTACATCAATTAAACAAATATATACTTTAGATTCAGCCTACTCCAACTGAAGCAGTTGTCAAAGTATCCATGGCGACACTGTCAATCTTCTTTGGCATGAAAAAAGGTCAGAAATATCTCAAATGAATTAATCTTAAATTTTATAGTGATTGTTTTTATTATCATAAGCTTCTGTTTGAAATATTCTCTTCCAGCCTTTTCTTATAGTTACGCTGAACCAAAAAGATTAAGGATAATGAATATTTGGGGGGATATTTTCATGATGTTGTGCTCAGTACACACTATAAACAATATCCCTGAAAATATTCATGATCCCTAACTTTTTTTGTTCAGTATAGTGAGTGAGTTGTGTTTAACACCGCTTTCAACAGTATTCCAGTTATATCGTGGCGTGTCAGCTTAATGTGGGAGGAAAGCCCGAAGTGATGCAGGTCTCAGACGTTTACCACTTCGGTGAAACCCATGAGCACGAGGGGAGGTCGGGCAGCCTAGTGGTTAAAGCGTTTGCTCGTGACGCCGAAGACCCGGGTTCGATTCCCGACATGGGTACAATGTGTGAAGCCCATCCCTGGTGTCCCCGGCCGTGATATTGCTGGAATATTGCTACAAGCGGCATAAAACCATACTCACTCACCCCATGAGCACGGGTATGGTGCTGACAAACCTAGAAACATAATTGGGGCGAACCAGGATTCAAACCCATGATCATAGGTTTCTGGCGTGCCCAAGGGATGCAACTCTGCACAGCAAATCGTGGCGCCTTAGACGACTGGGCCACCCGTGCCCCCTTGTTCAGTATAGAGTGGAACATGATCTCATATCATAAACTCTTTGACCCTTTAATGGCTGACTACGGGGACATGACTATTCAAAAACTTTATTTATAAACCTACAGCCACTTTTGCCTCCAGTAATGTATGTATCTTGTTATCTCATAGTTACATTGGGAGACGGACAACTTTCAAGTGAGAGCTGCTGAGAGGTTTTACATTTGAATTGTAAGACCTGCTTGGAGTCCATGACCGTGAATCGACCATACAGCCTCAAACGTCATTGTTTATTATTTATTTTATTTTTTTATTTGGATGGTTTATAAGTTGGATAAAACACGAATTTTGGTTGAAACTGTAAACTCTGTGTCAGGAATTGCCCCTGAGTCTTCGTCTGTGGGATATTTCCTCTGCCTTGTGTTTACATTTTCAACCTAACCTCGGAGGCATCCTTTATCGTTTTCGGAGGCATCCTTTATCGTTCTCGTGATTCACAAATAATGAAGCAAGCATCCGCACAGATCAATCTTGTCATCTTAGATCACTGTGAATGTGGTCGAGTCCTTTGTCTTATATCTTGACTTAGTTAATCCTCTGACTTCAGTTGAGTTGTGATGCCACTGCCATTCTAAAATTGACACCATCATATATCCATGGTTACTTTGTGGGGTTCGTACCATCATTCAAGTCCCTAAATAACCACACTATCAAATGACAGTCACATGAAGTCAGTGGCGATGGAAACTGACATTCCAACCAATCAATTTACGGTACAGTTCTCAGATCAGAGTGAGTGAGTGAGTGAGTGAGTGAGTGAGTATGGTTCTACTCCACTTTTAACAATATTCTGTCAATATCAAGGCAGCGGTCACCAGAAATGGGCTTCACACAATGTACGCATGTGGGGTATCGAACCCGGGTCTTCAGCGTGAAGAGCAAACCCTTTAACCACTAGGCTACCCGACCGCCCCTTCTCAGATCAGACAAGGCAATTCAAAACCTATGAAAAATCTGTGTGTTTCGTTATTTGTTGCTTAACACCAGAATCATCAAGATTCCAGCTTTATGACAGCAGCCTGTAAATAACCGAGTCTGGACCAGACAATACAATGATTAATATTGTGAGCAATGAGCCGTTCTGTCAGTTTATCTTGTCACGCAGTCGTCCAAGTCACCGTGTTTGACCGCCCAAACCACCCAAGTTGCCCCTTATAACCAGCACAGGTTGCTAGGGATCAATTCTAACCTGAAATCCCCACAATACAAATTCACTGTGACTTGGGACTTTTCATTAGAATGCTAAATGAAACACTCAGACAAAGAGTATTATTCCTACACTAACGGGAAAAGGGTTTTAAAGAGCATAATACAAAAGCCATTTGATCAAAGTGACAAACATTCAAGACTTACGTAAATCTTCAGAAAGTATATTGGTAGACATGTGAAGAACATTTCCAAATTTGAGGTATCAGTGAAAAAAATAATGTATGAAGCAATTCCCTATTTTGACTTGTACCATATACAATCTCATTACAATCCGATCTCAGTGCTGATGTGACTGCTACACAACGATCTGGGGGACATCCCATAACAAGTCACGTCGGGGGACATCCCATAACAAGTCACGTCAGGTTACATCCGACCAATCAGAGTGTCGCTTATGGGATCCTCAAGTGAAAGTCTGAATGTGTTTTTTAATAATTCAATCTCAAAAACGTTAACATGAGGCATTTGAAACGACAGTTATGGGCTGTGCGACTGATTCTGTCAAAATGCTCATCTATCTTTCACTTCAATGGGATAAACATTTGAATCAAGGAGACTTTCCATAGCCCGTGGGATGTAGTGCCATACAATCTTGGTCATCTATTACACATTCCAGAATTTTCTTTTGTTCAGTTTTCAAATTTTAAATCAAGAACTTTAACATATTTTCGCAAAGCAGAGTCTAGAATGGAAGTCACCATTTGGAAAGTAGTACTGTCAAGCTTGAGAAAGCTGCTCTCTGATTGGCTAACTTCCAGTTTGTCATTTCATGTAGCAGTAGCGAGCACAAAGTTATTTTAATGAGATTGAGTGATATACACTGTGAGACCCCGTCCTTTGTATCTGTAGGGATTTGTGAGTATGGTGCTTCCGCCACGATGAGAATGGTTTATGGTTCACATTTACACAGCACAAGGCTTGAAACAATATGGGTTTACACAACGTGTACATTATATGTCCGGCAGAATGAATTGTGTCAGAACAATGATGTTTCCATAGATAAAGATCATGTTATGGGAGCATTCTTAGGATGTTTTTTGCAAACGACTGGTATCATCACTATTTCATACATGATAGTGATTCAAGAACACATACATCATACAATGAAGTAGTCAAAATCATACAATGGACTCTGATTTATCAGAGATATTAGTATTTCACAACGTTCCTAACATATGTCACCTTCATATAAAATTGTAACGTTTTGCACACTTGACCTACAGTAGATGCATATCGTGTTACAGTGCATTGCAATGCACTACACATCTGTTGGTAATAAATCTTTGGTTTGTTTCAATCTGTTCAGTTATGTAGCACTATGAAAAAAGATCAAATAGTACATGTATATATAGTATTGAAGACTGAGTGTCCACCTTGACCACCAGTCATTTATCACAAAACCGAAAATTCGTGAAATATAAAATAATCCTGTTGAGAGAAAAATTGCCTGCCACAAACATTACATTGTTTTAAGGTGCTCTTCTTGAGATATAATTCAGCCTGATAGTTTTGAATAAAAACATCTTGATTTGCAGTTGTAGCTTAAAAAATATCTAATCTCAATACAAAATCCTAGGCCCCTCCCAAAATATCAAAATGTCGGTCCCTAATCCTTATCCTTGTAAGCTGGCTTTGCTGTAGTCTAGTGCTGTGATCTAGTGCTGTGATCTAGTGCTGTGGTCTGGTGCAATTGAGGATCTGCATAGCAGATGGAACATGCATGTGGTCATCAGTGAATGAAATTCAAAGACAACCTTCAGGGAGATTCAAACAGATTTTCACATATTCCTTCTCATGGCCTTAAATATACCACTCAACTTTTGAAAGGGATAATCAGATATACACTTGACATGTTATGAGAATCAGGTATGTGTATCATGGAAATTTAAGACAAAAATATCCCGATCAAAAGTGGCATTGTATATTATGATAAGCATCAAATCCTCAACATTCATGATACTTAATAATGAAGATTAATGTGGTATTTAAAAAATCTTTCCTTACTTTTGATAACAAAAAATAGAATCAACTCCACAAAACCTTCACTTTTTGATTCATTCAGTTACAATGAAACTGAAGAAATGATGTAACTATCTGCCATCCAAAACACTCTTTCTCATTCAGGGATAAAACATCAGCACTAGCCTCCAAGACAGAACAAATTTCCCAGTTTGTCTCCCAGACCTCATAAGAATAACTTAATTAAAGAACCCAACTCAAGTCTAGAATTATTTGTTAAGTCTAGATTGTCTCATTGTTCTGGGTCCCATTTTGATTTGAGTTTATCTTTTACAGAAATATATTTATAAACAAGATGTCTTTATTTCGGGACTAAATCATGACAGCTAGAAGCATTTGGAACCATTTAAGGTGTTCTTGTTGGTTAAGTATCTCTATATCAGGCTTGTAGTGTTTTTAGGTGATTATTTATTTATTTTTTATTTTCCTGTAAATTAAACACTCCCAGGTTATACACAGATATTTACCAAGACATTCAGATAATGTATTACTATTTTATAACCAGAAATTCCATGCAGCATAAAATAGTGATTCTTTCAGGGTAGAGACTGTATTGATTAATTTCACTGTTGATTGGCTGTAATATAATGGTCTCATGCTAGTATGAAATCATTGAAACCATCACCAGCTGTTACCAAGTTGACAAGCCAGCCATGACAGCCAGTTGTACGTCATCAGAGTCAACCTTGTCAATGGTCTTGCATAAATCAAAGGAAAAATGATGACAAAATTTCAATGCAAATGAAATCAACTTACAAGGCTGTGTCTGATGTGACAGGGAATATATCCACCCAGGTGTACTAATGATCACCGTCTTCAGAGAACGATCCACAGAGCCATATAATCAGGTCATTTTAAGCTGTGTCTATGGCATCACAGTTGCGCTGATATCTCATCCATGTCATTTATACTGTGACGACAAAATTACACACCGCTGAATGAGACAGTATCCAAGAAATTAAATCCGTTATTCTACATACTCCATTCACAAGATAATGAGAAAGGGGGCATCAAACAGTCCACGCACAAAAATCAATTTCTGACAAAGTCTCACCAAAGAAATATGAAGGTCCGAATAGGAAACAAGTCTTTATCCATAACACTGTTACTTCACAGTCAGTTCACGAGCATCAGTAATGTAAATCTTCCACAAATTGTTCCATCACAATTGAAACACAGATGATTGTCGCGAGTCCCATAGGCTATATTCCCACTGTCACAAACACCCGTCACAGCGTACATCTATCGCTGATCCCAGCAGTCAGCCACCAAGAGTATTGCCTGCTCCAGCCAGGTGCATTGAGCCAGTGTCCTGCCTGCTCTCCGGTGAAAGGAATCGCTCTCATCCCGCATCTGTGCTCGGAACGGTCTGTGCGGTATCCTCAGTGAGATTCCTACAGGTGTCCTCTTTCAAACAGATGTTGTTTCTGTCTGAGTCTTGGAGTCACACATGATCCAACACCGGTGTATTGTATTCCAGAACCTGCACAGGTGTTATATCAGTCAAGCTGTGGTCGAGATGGTCTGTACTGGTCCTGCTACCACAGGTGTGCTGCTTCAACTAACAGAGGTGCTACTAACAGCGTTCTACCCTGCTGGCCCAAGTATTGATGTATGCCATAGAAAGCTGACTCTTCTCGCTTCTGTTACTCCGCTGCCAAGAGGCCAGTATTGATGGTATCACATGGCAGTGGCCGACACAATGTGTCTGCATCATCACTGACAATTCACACTAACGAACATGGCCTAATGAAGCGGGCATATGTCGGGATTCAACAGTACACTGAGGGTGGCTAATTCACTCATTTCTTCCCTTTCATGTCTGCAATTTCCTGTTGATAATTATGGTAACTGTTGCTATCAATGAAGGTATTTTGCAGTTGCTAAGGTGATCGCCACATATTGGAAAGACATTTTTCACATGCACCGAATTATTTTACACAATTACTGCCAAGCAGTTTAACACTATTGCTACCAAATGTTTCTAATATGATCTGTTTTCTTTTAAAGTTCCCTGTTGTGTTCTAATATGTCCCGGTTGCCAACAAACTGAACAAGTATTTCACTTTTGCCAAGCCATATTTCACAGTCACATCATTTTATACAAATGGCTTTACATCATTAACCAAATATTTCTCTCTTGCCGCCAAATATTTCTCTGCTGCCACAAACTATTTCTCTTTGTTACCTAAAATGTCTCGGATGCTGTCCAATGTTTCTGTGCAACAACCAAACTGAAAATATATTTCACTGCCAAGACATAAGACGCTGGAACCATACTTCCTTATCATCACAATAGTCTTACATAATTCCCACCAGGCAAAAATATCCAAACCATAAAAAAGGACGACAACCAATTAGGTCAGCTTGGAAATCCTGCTACAGCGCGACATGCTTCCGCTCTCGCTGCGAACACGAGAGAGACTGAGCAATGTGTACAGAAGGTTCAGAGTGAATCATGGGAACCAATCAATCATTACAGGTCAATATCGACATTTACATTTCAACCCCGACAGGAGGATACGGCCATTCTGTATGCTTAACACAGGCTACACGTGGAGCCACACAGCTTGGTACTTGATGCAGATCCGCACCTTTTCTACCCATTGCATTATGTTAGTCCTGTATGAAATAAATGAAGATGTGTGTATTCTGTGCACGGGAGTGGAGACTGGGCCGGTAATGCCATGTCACCTGGTAGCCAGTCTTCAAAGACAATGCTGGAATAAGGCTTCAGCCAATTAGTATCTCTTCATAGAAACCATAGTGGCTGATTGCATGTGATGGAGTGACAGGCCCATTCTCTTCCACTACAGTAACTGAGACTAACACAGTAAGCGGTATGGCTGGGATTTCACATCTACACTGTATTCCACACAGTATTCTAAACAGTATTCTACACAGACAAACTAGGGATTATTAACCAGTAGAAAACCTTTCGAGTATTTATAGTGTTTCTGGGTTTTTGAGTGAGTGAGTGAGTGAGTTGGGTTTAACGCCACTTTTTAACAGTATTCCAGTTATATCATGACGTGTCAGCTTAATGTGGGAGGAAAGACCGAAGTGATGTAGGTCTAAGACGTTTACCACTTCGGTGAAACCCACGAGCACGAGTATGGTGCTGACAAACCTAGAAACATAATTGGGGCAAACCGGGATTCGAACCCACAATCCTAGGTTTCTGGCGTGCCCAAGGGATGCAACTCTGCACAGCAAATCGCGGCGCCTTAGACGACTGGGCCACCCGTGCCCCCTCTTGGTTTTTGAGGGTACTTGGATATTTTCACAACATATCACTTGTCATTTAATGTTACACATTCAATTGAAGTGTTTTTTAAATAGAACAAGTAATACTGAAAGAGCAAAAAGACTTATGTAGTATGTACTATCATACTGACAAGTATTACTCTTTAAAATATACTGATGAAATTAATTAAAGATATGTCCTGACAACTATCCATGACATAGATGACTTGATGGCAATTTGATGTAATTATCACATCTTGATTGATGTGTTTACTTACAGAAAAAACCCACAAATGATGACAAGAAAATTAAAAATACAATCTCGGCATCCAATCGCTGCAGTCCTGATTTTCTAGAGTGTCTATTTCAATGTCCCTCAACTCTGGGTGGACAGTGGGAGTTCTCATGCACCACTGAGTGCCAATTACTGGAGACTCAGATGAATAGTCGAGTGATTTTCATAATTTTCACATATTACGAATAGAAATTGTATTGTGCGAGCCTTTCAAGCAAGCGTAATACATATCTTTTATTCATAACAGATCTATATGATATCATATTTATGACAAAGAAACACACGAGGGTAATAATATCTTTATAATTTTGAAGACAATTTCAGATTGACTCAACCATCATGTCAATGTTTTACAAAACATTTATTTTAAATATTCTGACTAACTTCACAAGTTGGTTTGGAAACCTGTCTGTTAGCAACAAAAGCAAACGGTTCAAACCTGTAACATGGCGAATATAAAATCATTGGCATCCGTCTCCAGGACATAAGTAGTATTTATGAAGAGCAAATAGTTAATAAAGCAAATAAAATATTGAGCGATATCTTGCATGTTTTACATTCGGAGTATCAATTTTTCCCTACTGGATGCCAACTACGATTGCCGATGTTGCAAACAAACAGGACCTGGAATTCATTCATAGCACCTGGTACCAGGTTTTATAAGTTTTGTGATATATTATTGTTGAACATTCACTTGTTAGTGCAACATTTAATGTTAATTACCTTTGTGATGCTCTTATTTATTTTGACCGCCTCCGTGGTCTTGTGGTAGAGCGTCCGCCCGGAGAGCGGAAGGTCCAGGGTTCGATCCCGGGCCGCGTCATACAAAAAGACGTTAAAAGATGGTACTTGTTGTTACCCTGTCTGGCGCTCGGCATTAAGGGGCTAAAACAAGGACTGGTCGGCTCGGAGTCAGTATACTGTGTCTGAGTGGGGTATTCATGTTAAACTGCGGCATGGTATCTCAGTGAGCTAGCACTATAAATCGGCATCAGTCCGGACTAGTACAAGCAGCCACACACACACATACACGTGCATGCACGTCGCTATATAAGTGCAATAATCTTGGACGCGACGTTAAACCCAATTTCACCTCACCTCACCTCTTATTTATTTTTATATGTGTTTATCAGTAAGATGAGACCTTGTGGCTGATGTTACCAAATTTCCTTTGGGATATTAAAGTGTTTTCTTTTCTTATATAATGAGTGAACTGCCACATTTATGATATATATGAAAAATGAATTGGAGCCATGGCTGTTTACAAACACTCACACATCAAGGAAACCACTGTCTAATCATCAAGGGAACGTTATACATTAGCTTTTGAGAACATAAACCATCTATGTTTAGTGAGTGAGTGAGTTTTAACGCCACTTATAACAGTATTTCAGTTATATCACGGCGTGTCAGCTTAATGTGGGACTTCGGTGAAACCCATGAGCACAGGTATGGTGCTGACAAACCTTGATACATGATTGGGGTGAACTGGGATTCGAACCCACAATCATAGGATTCTATCATGCTCTAGCAACTCTACACAGCGAATCGCAGCGCCTCAGACAACTGGGCCACCCATGCCCCCATCTATGTACAGAGCTAAAAGTAGTTCCTGCTAGTTGATCTCATTTGCATATATATTGTATCATGACACCAAGTTTATCAAAGTTTTTTATCCTCATCGATAAATCATTGTTTGTAGATGCAAGTGAATGCGTGATTATTGGTTTATGTTGCATCAGCAGTCTTGTAGCTACTTGTATGGAGGAATAAATGTTTTTTGTTTTGTTTTGTTTGTTGTTTAACGCCCCACTCAGCAATATTCCAGCTATATGATGGCGGTCTGTTTATAATCAAGTCTGGACCAGCCAATCCAGTGATTGACATCATGAGCATTGATCTTCGCAATTGGGATACAATGAAATGCATCAACCAAGTCAGCGAGCCTCACCACCCAATCCCGTTAGTCGCCTCTTACGACAAGCATTATCACTTATTACGTCATGCATGGGTTGCTGAAGACCTATTCTACCCCAGATCTTCACTGGCCGGAGGAATAAATGTTAAAAAACAAAACAAAACTGGTGTGCAAATTGGACACCGGATTTACATAAAGTCCACACACCGGTCTCTGCAACTTACAACTTATTTTCACATAAAAATTCCATGACATGAATCCATCCTCCATCCTGTTAAGTTTTGTAACCCACTGAACTACTTGTGCAGGTGATGAATGGTTACTTAATTTTACATGTCATGACTTCAATTGTGTGGAAGCTGCACATGGTCTTTCTCTTGATCAAATTCTTTTATACCCAAACACAGTGTCTGTATTGTTTCACTATAAGGCATCCCGATGTTTTGCTATTTTTCTGGTATTTCTTGCATTTAGATGGTTCATAAGTTGGATAAATCACTCGATCCTCCTCGGTTTTGGTTGAAAATGTAAAACCTCAAGCTAAGGAAAAGCCCTGAAGCTTTTGCCCCGCAAGCGGTTTCACATTTTCAACAAATAAACTTCGAGTCATATGTTTTATCCTTAATGTACGAAATCAGTGTAAACGTCAAGGCATTTCTCCAAGACCAGAACTGTATCGTAACAATGAAATCACAATAAAGAGAAACTAGCTAGCACATTCCCACGAGAAAACATGCATGCAAAGTCCATATATAATACCTCATTCACCTTGTTGAAAATACTATTCCTATTATCATCATCACCTACTTAATAACCCGGAGTGCTGCCACACCCAGTAGAGATTTGTGCCAGGGGAGTCTCCAATATACTGCCATTGATTGTTGTTAGGTCGTATTATTCTTAGATTGTTAATGAGCTGTTAATGACAGTTAAAATGCTGCTCCGGAGAATCAATAATGATAAAATGTCATGGAAATATATCTTTGTATATAGGATTTGTTTTTAACATGGGACAAATGTTTAACATCAGAGGAGGACTGGGGAAAATTGAAGGCATTTGTTCAGTATTGATGCCTTGTTCTTATTCAGTGGGTTAACATCTTTAATGGAGGAATGATAGTCAGAGAGTGAGATACATTTGGCATATAAAGCTGCTTTGCAAATGCTTTTAAGGCCATAATAAAAATATATTATCCAGACTGTTTTCCCCGCCTGCCATACACCCGCCATGCACCAAACATCTTATCATTTTAAAGTACCCAAGTACTTACAGGTGATGTGTGTTACCTTTTACTTGATAAAAAACATCATATACATATAGAATACTAAACTCGCTCCCGTGTAATACCAATTTTATGAAACAAGTTTCATAAAATTGGTTTTACACGGGAGCGAGTTTAGTATTTTATTTATTACTTGCCATTTATAACGTTTTTAGAATTATACTGTTGAGTATGAATAGGCTGACACCTACACGATCCACGGCATATTCCAATTGAGTTTCACAGAATAATACTTCAAACATGTCAAGAGTTTTAACGTATGAATTTAATACCAAACAACGGTCCACCTTTAGAATTCAGGCGTCCGTTCCACAAAATTATCATAGGGCTAAGTCTATCGCAACTCACATACTTTAACTTAGACTAACAACTGTCGTTGTGCTACAATACGATCGCCTTGTGGAACGGGCCTTGCACCTCAAAGTTAACAATCATGTCACAATACCCGATGACGTAAATTGTGGAATTTTGTTGCAAGATCCATAGGCGAAACAATGCCATGTGACGTCAGCCTAGCAACAAGGTTGCTGGGGTCTTCGAGTGTGCATAAGCTCCTCTCAGTGATCTATCAACTCCACAAACAATGTCGTTGAATAAGCCAAGGGATGTTGAGAGCTTTCAATATTTGTTCGTGAAACGTGTTCCGAGGGTACATAAGCACG